AATCAGTATAAGATAAGTGAACTAACCTGCTGAGCAAAGGTAAGCTTTACAAAGTGCTTTAGAAATATTTTTGAGAATTGACTGAGCTGCTGCCGACCACACAGGAAGACAACAGTTGAACAGTGAAGAAGAGATATCTCAAAACTGAGAAAAATGAGTTTAGTTTTCATTTTCAGTGTCCAGAAACATGATTTACAATGATGAGATTCCTCTGCCAATAGCTACATTTTTTACTAGAATATCAATGAGATTCTCTCTAAAAGTGTAAATAAAACTAATAAATATATAATTTTTTTACAGAATAACCGTTCTTATAAAAAAATTTTATAAAACAGAAATACTTGAAGTAACAGAGAATTTGACACATTAGATTTGTGCAATGAAAAACAGCTGTGTTCTTATCAGGCTACATTAAAGCTTATTAATTAATAATCTTAAACAATTTGGCTAGAGGTAGGCAATCAAGCTACCTACCACTCTGGGCTGATCTTTTCGTCCTGATTATTCTAAATTTAAGTTAAAAATTAAATTTATTTCAAATTATTAAATTTATCACTAGACAGTAACAAATAGACAACCAGAGCCAAATTATTTTATTTCTAATTGTTAAATTACCCTAGTTACAGCCTAAGACGTAATTTGGAAATTTGTTTGGCATATCTACATATATTAAAAAGTTTATTATTTTTAAAATTTAGAGTTAATGAAGTTAATTATTTAGATGATGACAATGATGATATATAAATTACACCTTAGATTGATATTATTAATCCTTCCCTGCACTGTTACAGTTGTACAACATTAAAGTTTGCTTCATTTTATCTATAAATAATAATAGCATGTGTTATGAATTCGGTAACACGAAAATACCAAAGCTTTTTACCATTAAAGGGTGCTATTTTCTTACATTTTCCAATTTATTTGAAACTTTTTAAATAACAATTCCTTTCACTATTGCTTTAAAGTGTATATAATATGATAATAATTCTTTCAAACTGTTTATAATGAAATAAACTTTGTTATAATTAGTAATGAAATATATCTGTAATGCACTACCAAGTATGCATTTGAAAACCAAAATATTGTTTTTATTAAAAATGACATTGACACCGATACCAAAACTGTATATAATGAAAATTCTTGACACCACTATTGCTGCTTTTGCTGTCAGAATGATTACTTGATGTCTCTATATCATGACTTTCCATAGTGAAATAATTATGACTGTAAAACGTAGTCACTGAATGAAGGTTTTACTGTATTGTGTTTCGTGTACATATAAGTTAAAACTGTAATAATTTAAAAATGATTGATATACGCATGCTTGACTGCAGTTTCTGTACATGTAAGGTTTACAGGTATGTTTTTGGAGATATCACTGGTTTTTTTCATTTCATGCTTTATAAATGGTTACATTAGTTCCCTCGTCTACAAAGTATTTATCTGTGGAAGGCCATAAGATGAAAATGTTGCATGCAGCTTCTCCACAGCGGAGAAATAAATGGAAAGATGAATTTGAAAATAATTTTTTAAATATATTTCAAATTATTATTCAGAGAAAGTGGCAAGGATTTAATTTTTCCAACAACATCTTTAAATGGTATCTGTGAGAAATGCTCTAATTTAGACAAATTAAATATTTTTAAGAAATGTAAATGTATTTATGTATGATTTACATTGGGTTTGACACCAAATACTAAAGAGACAGCAAAAACAATTACATATACACTGCACTCAACTCTATTTGATTGCTGCTGTTCACTTGGAAAGTTCAGAGATGTCAGTAAGAATACTTTGAGTTCCATAGATATTTTATGTAATTTACAGAATCGTATGTACCAATAAGTTTTGTGTAAGTTAATAAGAGAGCAATAATAAATTGTAATATTAGCAAATCCAAAGATCATTGCTATGTAGAATTTGTATATAATCGATAACATATCAGACAAAAAAATAATTGCAGGATTTTTGGTATAATTTGATGCTAACATCGAATAATAAGTACAATTTTGTAGAATATGAACAAAACAAGTCATATGCAAATTTTGTAGTTTTCCATTACATATAATAGTCGTTTTATCACTAACAGATAGCTCTGCAATAAATGAAACTATAATTTAATAAATCTAGAACAATGAAATCAAATCTCATTAAAATTAAAATGACAAATATAATGATGAGCCCCTGGGCAGATATTTCGCAAAATATATCTTTTTTGACAGAAGGAGAAAAGAAGGATTTTTAAGTGAAATGAAAAATATTGATAAAAATTGATACCTCAGGAACAAAGGAAACTCGATAAAATTTGATACATACTGTAGGTCGAAAAAATTCATAGACGATGATGATACTTATTATTATGTCTAGATGACGTGTATGTCTTTAGTTTTTTAATAAAATGTGAATTGCAATAGACAGAAAGTGTTCTAATTCCAGTATGGTAAGGTTTGCTTTGTTAAGTCCTTCATTCATTCACTCACTTGGTGGCTTGCCTCTACCGAGCTTTATGATAATGTCTTAAAAAAACTTTTTGTGAATTTAAATGTATGAAATCATTGCAGCAATGAAGCAAGAAGTATTATCAGAAAAATATGAAAGAAAAATTTATTGCTAAATGAAGAGCAATTAAAGTTTAATGGCAACTTTTCCCTGCCCAAAGAAATTAAAGAATTAAATACTGCATATCAATATTTTTGTTCTCAGCCATTAAAATTACTGTTCATGAAATTAATCAATTAATGGACATTACAATCTACATGTCTCCAGTGAATATGCAAAACTGTTGTTCATATTTAGGATTTAAGTAAAAACAAAACTGTAATGAGTTAATTTCCTACACTAAAAATAATGTTGAAAGATCAATGTTTTGAATCAGTTGAGAATATAAAGAAAAAATTGCACTGCTTCCAGCATTTCTTTCATCCCTAGAAAGACATTCTACAAACGTTTCAGAGGACAAAAGAAATGCTGGAAGCAGTGCACATGCAATAGAGGGAAGTACTTTAAAGGTGATGAGGCCAAACAACTTCTAAGTTAAACAGGAAATTTTTTATTTAAAAAGTTCAGGAATTTTATGAACAGACCTTGTATGTAAAAACCTTTTAATTAGAATACACATTTATAGAAAAATAATATGAATTGTCACCTTATAGTTATATAAAAAATTTTACCAACTTTAGTGTTCATTTTAAATGTTTTGGCAGTAGGGCTTCCAGATTTTGTGCCATTTAAATTGTTTTCTATTTAGTGCATTCTGATAATCAACATTATATTGCATTAAACTGTTTAATGAACATTCTTTTTCTAATGAAAAACAGTAAAAAATCACAAATTAAGTAAATATTAAAGGATTTTCTGAATTGATAGTTTGGAAGAAAGGATTTCTGACATTTTGGAATACAGGCAGTCTGCTGGCTGGGAAATTCTGCAGTAGTACTGTTTCTGCCAGTTTTGATTTTGGTAATGACAAAATCATTTGTGAAAATTAATTTTTTTATCTGTTGTTTGCTTAATTTATGGTTTTAACACTAAATTATTTTGAAAATTTAAGATTATACAACAGCAAGTCCTTTTTTTTCCTATTTACATCCTTTTTAATTCCAATCCAGGAACCACAATATAACATGGATGCTGTCGTGGAAAATTTAGTTTTTAATGTTTGTAGACGTCGTAGTCTACAAAACAGGCTTGATGTCGAAATAATTTTATGATAGTATTTGTCTGTTTTAGATGTTTACTTCAAGTTGCTTGCTGTTTGTGGTTTCTGGATTGGAATTAAAATAAGATGTAAATAGGGTAAAAGGACTCATTGTTTGTATAGTCTTAAATTTTCAAAATAAATATAATAATCTGGGCTAATGTGAACTTTAAATCACGTTTTATAAACTGTAATATAGGGATGTTTAATTGTTCAATAAATATATTAATAAGTGATTTTATAATTTTTATTTTTAGTTCTTCACAACTTATTCACTTTTTGGTCAGAGTCTTGAAGACTGCCAGTACCATATTTGAAACATAATGCCATCTATTGAATATATTTACATAAAAAGCTGCAAGTTTTGCTGAACACATATATATCCAGGTAATAGAAAATTATAATAAATAAAAATAAATTACCATACACAACAAAGAATAAATGGTTTTAAAATCTGTTTCATTATGGAAAAAAAAAAAAACAATATACTAACTTAGAAAATAATCTCTTAATTTGAAGATTTTATATTACTACTATTTATCAATGGATGTATTTACAGAAATTGTTTTATTGATTTTCATTTTGAAATGAAAATATAAAGTATAAAAACATATGGGATAAATCATAAAGTTAAAAATAAACAGGAAAATTAGGAGCAAGGAAATTTTTATGCTAATTTGTGTGGGTCTTAGAACATATCGTAGTAAGTGTATTGCTATTCAACAGTCTAAATAACTTTACTTTATGATTAAATGTGAAATATTAATATAAAAAAGCTTAAAAAAAGATAAGTAATAAAAAATTCCAATAACTTTTGGATATCAGATATTCATCATCAAGAATCCTGATGATAAATATCAAATACTTGGAAGCTCATAAGTCATATTTCTGTAAGCTATTTTGCTTCATTAAAGCATATTTTGTTATAATTTTATTTTAGAATATTGAAGTTATAAAATACAGTAAGATTTCCTTACTGAAATTATTCTCAAACTCATCTATACTTAGAATAATAATTTTAAGTGGGTTAAGTAAATAATGCAATTAGTGGAAATTCCAATGAGGACATGCTAGAACATTACAATTTCTGTAACTTGAAATTTATTAATTATAATTATCATTTTTAATTAATATTAATTTATTCAACATAAAATTGAAGTAAAAAAAAAAACATCAGTAATTGAAACTACTGTACTGTAATCAAATAATAATTGCATGTTTTTGACCACATATTAAGTTTTATAGTGTAAAAAAGACAACTTAAAAACACTTCTTTACCTAAAGATAATGATTACTACAGTTTTTATAGAGTATTTTTCAATTTACATATTTTAGGGTTTACTAATCTGATAATATTAGACTGTTGATAACAATATTTATAAATAAAATAAGTGGATTTAATTATACTTATAAAGAAATTTTGTTCATGTTTTCTCTTTCATCTCTGACTGTGTAACTGGGTGCATTGGGCAACTTTGTTCATACAATGTTAATAAATGCAATATACAGGGTGTAACTAAACTCTGTACCAATATTTTAGAAGTATCTATCCCCAAAATAATAGCAGTTTTGCTACACACTGTATGAAACAATATCATACTTCAATTACTATCAAAGGTTGCCTACTATATATATTTTACGATTTTTATTAGTTTTAATACTTTAAAATATAATTTTAAGCCACACTCTAATCAATTGATTAATTAATGCAAAGAACTAACACATTACAAGGTATACAGCAAATCACAATTACAGCCATTACAGGTGGCGTATCCATTAGTCGTCAAATTTCATGAGGGAAAGATGAAAGATTACACAACTGACTGTATTGCCAGTGACAAAGTTGTGTAGATAGGATGCACAATCTTATGCACAGTGATAAACTTGTATAACTTTATTGCATGGTCATCCCCAGCTGAATATTCTCTAATTGTGAGATTAATGTTTGAATATTACTTTAAAATGTTTATATCCAATAAACGTATGCTTTTTATCAGCAAGTAATTTGATATAATTATAAGTGGGATTTGATCCCTCTAGCCCCTAATCACTGACCATCCCTGGGTATCAATCTGTAATTTGTAATAATAGGAATGCAAGATTTGCGATACTTCATACTTACAATGATAAATAATAAAGAAAATATAGTACAAATAACTTACCATAATCTGAATTAGATCAAACATAGTAGCCAAGCCATCAACTTTTACTTCATTTGAACCTCCTTTTATTAAATCACCAACACATTGAAGATATTTTTCCATCTTAGTCCCTATAAAAAATGACAACTTTATTTATTTAAACTCAAAAACTATTCAGTTATAATATATAAAAATCTTTTATTAAAATCATATGACAAAAATTGAAGTAAAAAAAGAGTAATGACCTTCTTGCACTAAATATCTCTTCCCGTCAGACATTGCCCCGATAAAACCCAACGTTCGAACCGCGTGGCTCTTCAGGACAAAATCATTACTGTCACACAAGTTAAAAATAATATTCACCACCTTTGGAAGTTCTTTAAAAAGCTTTTTTGGTTGGGAGTGTCCAAGATTGCCAAAAAATTTAAGCAAACCTGTAAAATGTTTTCAAAATTTTAAATAAATTAGAACATGATAAAAGATCAAAAATTCATATAAACAGCAGATATGTTAGAAGATATTTAACTATATCTTAGTATATCTTAATAGTATAGAAAATAATACTAAATTCTTAATATATTTAACTATATCTTAAGAATTTAGTATTATTTTCTATACTATTAAATATAACTTTGTATAAAAATCATTAAATGTAACAAACATTAAGTACAGGGTGATTCAAAAAATATTAGCGTTAATACAGAAGTATCTTATTATGCTGAATGTGCAAATTTTCCACTATATCTTTTGTCATGTGCAAGAATTCACAACCCAATTGCAGAGTTTTCAAAAAAGTACAGGCCTCCTAGTCCTGTTATGACATCTGCACACCTCCACATAAATACATTAACATTTTTATGAAGTAAAGAACAAATAAAATCGTCAAATACGTACATAAAATCATACATAAACATGACAGTTGAGAAATGATTATAAAATTTAATGCATTAAACACAAGAAAATTAATGTAAATTTCATAAATACTAAATTAAAATATCACTTAATGTTACATTTGATAAATTTTTATTGAAAACATGATACCAAGACTAATTACATTAATCCAACTCCAAAAAAACCAAAATTCTTGCAAACAGTTCATTATAAATTATATAAATTGAGTTTAATACTGGGAATTAAAGACAAGTTTAAAATGAAAATGCAATTGAAACTAAGTTAATTCAAATGTATTTATATCAGTTCACCTTTAGTACATAACTGAAGACAAAACTTTTTGTTCTTTGTTCTTTTCTTTCTTTGTTCTTTTCTTTTTGTTCTTGAACTTTTGTTCTTTTCACTCTTTTTGCTCCTGTGGACAACTAAGAAGGCTTTTTTAATCACCCATTAGGCACACAATGAGGAGGAGCAAGCTGACATATTCAGGGCAAACCTTCCAAGAAAAATTTTTTGTTCTTTTTTTTTTAAACTTTTTATCTTGTGGGCCTTTTTATCTGGGGTCCACAGAATGGAAAGAGTAGATGGGGCCCCCAATAAATGTAAGGCCCCATCCCTCGTCATCCAGCTGCCCCAATGTGAACTAGGCTGAATACATGACAGGCATGGAAAAATGTCATTTTGGTGCCCACAGCATGTTGAGAGTAAAAAGAAAATAAACCATGAATGCAACTATCATATAGAAAATGTTCCCAAATACATGTAGGTTAATATAACAATGAAAATAACCTTTACAGATTTATATCTTTATTGTTACTATAATCAGATTTGCCTATGCTTTATTTCAACCTTTTTTATTTTCAAGATACTGCTGAGTAAAGATAGACAACTACAGTGAAATGTAGAATAAATGTAATTGACTTTAGAACCTTGTCATAACATATTGAAATATATATGTTTAGAATAATCTGTTCCAGGCCCATAGTGTAAGCTTCGAAGCAAAGTTACCATTGAATACAACCATTTAAACAGGTAAATACAATATAAAACAAACTATAAGTGTAAAAATTATATAAAATTTTTAGATTTTGCACCTGTAAATTTGTAAAGCATAAACAATTTTTCCTTAATGAAAACTATGAACAAATTTTTCCCTAATAATCAGTGTACACATACTAATGTACACAAAAAGCCAATAACTGAACCTTACAAATGCAAACAAAAAAAGTAATGACCAACTCTAATAAAAGTGGTAAGGCTCCAACATGTCATTCACAAAAGCCTACTACATTGGTCAACAGTATTCTTTTGCATTCAGTATAAATTAATCACCAATGTTCCAACATGCTTGGCTCCAGAGCCTTGCTGGATCAAGTTTTGTACAAAACTGTAAAGTAATAATTTAAAAGATAAATGACAAACTACTTTTACAATTTAAATAAAAATATTTGATGCTTCTATGTCTTTAATATATAAAAATACAAATATATAAGAAAATGTATACCAATAAATATTTAGCTTCAAAACATTATTATGTGTTTACTTATTTCTACAGAGCTTACAGCTAGAAATGATCAAATTGCTGGTATATTTACCAGTGCATTTTTAACTAATTACCATTAAACTGATAAATCGATTTACCAATAATGCAATCCCTAGAGGTAACCAAGCAAACAAATATAAGTCACAGAAAGGTTAAATGCCTTTTATACTTCTTACAGGTACTGGGTCATCCATTAGCTGCCAGAAAATTGGTGTTAAACCTATGATATTTTATCAAAATAATCATCCTTTTGTTTATACCCTTCTAGGCATGTGGAACATTTTTATTTACTTTATTATTATTGTATTTGATAGCAAAAATAAAGATTTATTTGCTTACTAATAACCATTTTTATAATTTATATTTATATTTTCTAAATAAATTTAATACACTGCTCATANAGTAGATATTACATTATCCCCATTCGTACAAGGAAATGGTTTAATTTAAGGAGTTAACAACAAATAATAAATAATTACAGTTTATTGTAGAGAATCTTCAAGTATGTTGTTTTGCACCTTCTAGCCACTCTCATTTTGAGCTGTATTGAAATTATTTTTGTGACCGTACGTCAATCTACCGTTCTAGGAGACTTGGAATCGAATTTAGGCCAACGATCCAAGAAAATTTTTCATGGGCGATATCTTCTAGATACGTCAGACCCTTTTTCCTCATTACGCGGCCGTCTCCATTGTGAGCTTGGCCGAATCCATGATGAGTACGGTGAAAAGGATCTCTCGATACACTCAAAGCAAAAATGTAATAAAAACAAATTAAACCAATGAAATACAACTGTAAATAAATTGCAAAAGTTTTATTTTAAGTACTTATTTCATCTTTAATTATTTTCTCCATTTAAAGGATATTTTTCCATATTAATTCTAGATTCGGCTATGCTATAACGAAGATGGCCAGAAGGTGAGGGATGAGCTTGACATATCTGGGACAAATCACCCATGAAAAATTTCTGGGAAGACTTTTCTCTCGGATTCGTTCTCGGTTCCTCCATAGCAGAAGGCCGATCACTTGTTCGTCCGAGTCTTATACATATATTTTAAATTATACTAAACTCCCTCTAACACTGTTGATAATTCCGTTTTATATGAATTCCATGTTGTACGGGTCACTTAGATTTTACAAATACGTGAGCCATTCACAGTCCGGCACACGTATTTGTAAAATCTAAGTGACTCGTACAACATGGAATTCATATAAAACGGAATTATCAACAGTGTTGTAGGGGGGTCTACTGTATTTTTGAATTTCGTAGATGCTAATGATATTAATTCTTTGCATTATTAAAATTTATAAAATTTTAATTAAAATCTAGTGCCTTAAGTACTGTATTCAGATTTATTGCATGCAGAGGTTTGCATATTACATAGTAAATAGCAGACTTACATTCACTAATGAAAATCTATCATTTACTATACGCTGTACAAACATCTTTTCCATTAGCAATTATAATAACCGCGTTATTGATTATTAATAAATCGTTACGTAAAGAAATCTATAAAAGACACGTAGCGGAATCATTATATGAAACATAGTCTGTAACGATGGCAATCTATAGTATACAATGGCGTGTAACTGATTCATTTCTCCTTCATTTATACCAATTTTCGAAATAGTTCTCATAAAAAAATGAATGAATTAAATGACGAAATGATAAATTCGATAGAAGAATCGGAAGATTCATCGGCTAGAATGCTTCTTTATCCAATAAATTCCGCATTAAAAGTATTCGGAATTAACATTTTGCAAAGTGAGAATCATAAGAAGACTTATAAAGATAAAGTGTACAGTTTTTATCTGACAGTATTAGAAGTATTTTTAATTTCCACCATTTTAAACATTTCGTTTATGCTGTATTCTAAAGATGCATTCTGCAGAAGTTGGATCCTGATTTTTCCAGAGAGAAGGGAAATGATTATTAGCGGCATCCTAGTAATTTGTATCTACACCACTTTCCTCTTTGGAGTTATAAGACGAAGAAAGTTAGAAATTCCGAGCGATGAAAGTTCTTACCACAAGGAAAAGGATTTAATGAATGAACTAGAATCGTATTGTCATTCTCAACTCATTTCTTCTTTCATTCCGATGATAATTATTAAAATGAGCATTGATATTTTTCTGTATCCTACATTCGATGATGTAACTTACACCGAATGTATTCTGTGTTACTTCTTTACGACATTTCTTTTAATATTTTTAAATAGCTGCTTGGATTGTTGTGGCCTCATGGCTTATGCTCTTGGATTAATACTGTACAAGAGATTAGAACACTTATCCGATTACTCTGAAAACATTCGCATCGAATCAAAACGTGTGAAAGACGAACTGGAAATTGTTATCAGGAAGCATTCTCACATCTGGTCCTACATTCAACACATAAATGCTAAATATGAAAATCTTATTGCTGTTATCTATGGCTACACCTTGTACATGTGTTGCTCATTAATAATCACTTGTACTTTCTTTAGACTGAACACGTATCTTTTGATTGGATTATCTATATTTACAATGATAATGCTGGTTCAATTGTTATTATTTGCAGTAGCATTGTCAAAATTTACTTCTGCAGTAAGTACAGTAACTTTAACAAAAATGCGTACCGTTTTTATTGTTTCATATTATGATTACTAATAATTCTTTATGTTTAGCTTTACAGTAACTTCATCGCTTTTAATAGATTCTCGTCTCTGAACTATTCATTGGAATATAAGTTAAAGGTATGAGGAATTACTAACGATTCTTAGAAATTTCATAAATCACTGTAGTACTTCGATATAACATAAATGTCGATTTTAGATCTTGAATTTTATGAAAAGATTTGGAAAAACTCCAATTGGAATTTCCTTTGGTAGATGCTTCTACGCAAAGAAAAGCTTCCTTCTGAAGGTATTGTTTTGCTTTTTTTTTTTACACATTTTATCAAATTTACACTGCTCTTTAATCTTTTCCTGCTGTTATATATAATAGAGAAAAAGTATAGCGATC